TCTGCCAGCCTCTTTGTCGCAATATTCTAAATAACTCACCTAAATGTATTAACAGTCAATAAAACACATAAATAATCGATCAAAAAACTTGCAAAATTATCAAAAACGTTTCAACTGATTGGAATTTGACAGTGTTTGGTTTTTCAAAATTTAGTTAACTGGCCAGTGTCTGCGGATGTCAAATGAATTTGTAATAAAATAATATCGTTATCCATGAGTACATAGATATGTATGATGTAATAATTTTAAAATTGCCTCAAAATGTGAATAGATAAAGATATTCTGCAACTTTGATTAATAGCACTGTAATATCGGAAATAACAAAACGCGTGTCCACTAACAAAACCTACGACTCCAATAGACAATAATTCTCACAATTTAAAATACACACACGCGTTTGAACTTATGTAATTGTTAGAAAAAATAGTTAAAGCTTAATTAAATATTAATAAAAAAAATACTAAAGTTGAAATAAATAAAAAACTGTCAAAAAAAGATCGCGCGCGTTTTCGCAAAATGGCGGCACTACAGATACACAAGAAAAACGTGGTCGCTCCGTCTGTGATGATTTCCCGCTTAATTTTATTTCTGGACGTTACATTTCGCTATGTTTTATTTTTAGAATGTGATTTTCTATCGAAAGGAGGACACGAGACGCCTATGTGGATTATCGATGTAAAATGCTTGCATTGTTTAGACTTGACATTTCAGGTATTTCGACGTAGCAAGAGTGATAAGATTTTTATCTTTATTACAAAATTAACTAAATAAAAAATTAAATGATGGCGAACTGCGCTTTGAAATATATTTAACTAGCTTGCCAGGCAGACGTAGTTCTGCCTTTTTCGACGACCCTTTGTCATGTCCTATTAAAAATCCTTAAATTAGAAAAAAATGTGGGGTGACCCAATTTAATATAATTGGCAAAAAAACTATCCTTTGTCTCAAGTTGGACCAAACTGCACACAGTGTGCATATTTGATTAAATCGGTTAAGTAGTTTAGGAGTCCATCGCGGACAAACAACGTGACACGTAATTTATGTATATTAAGATTTATCAGACATAATACGTTTCCTTACACTTATTCCTTCACCAGCGAGCACGTGTTAAATCAGTAGTTAAAATTGTAATTTTAATTATAAAGAAGTTCGGCAAATGGAGATCGTACTCCAGTTTCTCGCGTATCGTAAATTCGAAGCGAGTGCCCAGTTTCCTCAGCTAGTGATGTAACCATTTTATGAGTTTAGTTCATATTACCCTAAGGGACACTCTCTATTATATTTATTGCCCCGGCTTTGTCCGGGTTGAACGCTTATTGTTGTCTCGAAAAATGGTTACTGAGTTATCCTTAGAAGAAAGATTTAAAGCTATCACGGACTTTTTTATCAGCCATACATCATTTTCGTTCAACTTTAACCATTAACTCTTTGCACGCTATGAAAGCTCTTAAGACGACTTTCCGTTTTAGTTAACTAACATCATTACAACGTTTAGACACTATATATGTATGCAGCTACAAAATATATAACCTATATCCATCTGGAATAATAATGTACCTTTAAAATGGTGAAAGAACTTTTCAATGTTAAATATTTTTACATGACTGCAGTAGACCCGGAAATTACCCCGTCACATATAACACAAACTCTCAAAATTAGCATTCTTTCTTCAAAATATTAGTATAGATATTTGATAAAGCAGTCGAGTTGACAGCCGTAGTTTTATTATAATTATATTGAGCTCTTAAAGTAGATAGTGCTGCCATCTCCTGGTTCAGTTTCGCTCTGTCGCCTCTTACGACACCCACGTGATGATATGGGGCTGTGGTTTCTTCTACGGCGTCACTAGATTGGCTATAATTAGGGTAATCCTTTGCCAAAACTTTACATAGTTAGAATTTCAATGCCATGTTGGATTCTTTACTCAAAATTGCAATTAACTACTTCATTAGTTCCGGTGGGAATCCAACCCTGGTTGCTTGCATACCGTGAAATTTACAGAGTGGTTAGCTCCTGAACGGTACCTTGCTTGGAATTTTATGTGTTGATTTACCACGTGTTTGGCGGTGAAAGAAAACATAAAGAAAAACCCCACATGTCTAAAAATAATATTTCGATGACATGGAAATTCGCCAATGTGCACCGGGGCTTCCGTGGACATTTCCTAGCCTTCTCCGGAATGGAAAGACATATCTGTGTTCAGTGGGACATGTATAGGCTGAAATTTCACTTATACTTTATGATTTTTTACGATGTTATCCTTCGGTGAGCTGTTAAAAAAGGCTGAGAATCGTGAACAAATTATATGCTGGTTTTCACTATAGTATATTCGTTTAATTAAAGCATATGTAGAGGACATATACACATTTAGCAATAAAGCGTCAAATAGTAATGTCCAGACAGAATTCTGGAGACCAATAGCCAATTTCAGGACAGGGTTATATAGGAAACTAGTTTGTGCAATTACTGGTCAGCCTCTATTCCCTCACTCTCAGTCCGATAGGATGGAAATCCGACATGACCGGGGAAAGATCAGGTGCAGGACCAACGGCCACGGGGATAAAACACTGCCAACTTCCTGACCCAATAACTGATTTATGGCCCAACGGACTCAAACACAGGACCATGTCATCAGCAATTGCGACCACTCGAGGCAGCCTACAAGGATAACGCCTTCTTGTATCGCTCGCTATAAATTTCACAATCGCGAGTAAATCTAGTTCGATCCGCGCTGACACGGAAGAAAATGTTAATTCCTTTTTTGCTTTAATGAGTGGAATAATCTACGGGCGTCAGTGTTTCCGTCTGTATGCAACCTTGTCGTATTCAAGGCAAATTTGTTCGATTTACCATCTGGGCCTTCATCATCACTTACGTTCATAGTAGCACGTGCTTATGACATATAAAAACGTTTAACTAGAGAAGGGCATAGACAAAGTCAAAAGAAAAAATACGTGTGGCACTCGGTGACTGCCGCGCTATTGCATAGCATTTTTATCAACTTATGCAAAATTATAATTATTTATTTATTTTATTTATGCAGTATTTTTTTCTTTGATATTAATTCAAGTTACACTTTTCGAGCGTGGTGACCGATAAGAAAACAATTTTTTTTCTTTTATTGAATAAATGAGAAGTTAATATTGTTTAAAATATTTTTGTTAACTTACAATACATGAAGTTATTCAGGAATTTTTATCATTGAAACTACAGGTTTATGGTAATTAACGAGTTCTTCCGACAAACGATAATTTTCTATAAAGTCTGTGTTTATTAAATACTCTAAATTCACGAAAGTTGCTAGCATAACGACGACTCATATAAATCCAAAGAATATGCTTCTTGCAATAAACTATATTAATGTTTAAAATATTTTTATTATCTTACAATACATGCAACCAGTCTACACGCATAATTCTAGTAACATGCACACAAACACCGTGCCGAAGTCTGCCGAACTTAAACGACGTTAGGTTTTTTTCCTTACGAAATTTCTTGATTCGGTCGTCGCGCTCAAAACCCGCCATAAAAGCTATGCAATAGCTTAAAATAAAAATATTAGCTAAGATTATAATAGGCTTAGTCACCCGGGCTATCATGATTGCAGAAGTTAAATCTAGCACATTTTACTAAAACTAGGCGACTGAAAGTATAGACTAAAAGTGTGCACTGAAACTTGCATGCATGTATAAAAATAGTAATATTATTTCTAATTATAGCAATTTGCTTTCAATAATAACATATTATAATTTGGCAAATGGTTACTAAATAGGTACCCAACTCAGTATTGTGTTGGTACTGACAAAGTACTTCGACGCTGATCTTCCGTGGTATTTTATTATAGACTGGTAATTTAACATGCTAGATTTCACCGGAGAGCAGTTCTCGAAGAACATTTATAAGCTCAGATGGGGTAGAAAGACATCTTTAGTTGTTGTAGGCAAATATTTATTTAATGATTTGTTATATTTTTTATAGAATAAGGGTGACAAACGTGCACTAGTCCACCTGATGGTAAGTGGAACCTGTGGCCCATAGACATCTACATTTAACCTCGATTAAAAATCAAAACGCAGATGCGTTGTCACCCTTGAGGACTAAGATGGAATACCTCGATTCCAGTAAAACGGGTCTCCAGTTCTTTACTCACCATACGAAACACAACAGCATTAATCTGCTGATATTCTGAGTTTAGTTTGTATACCGTCTCTTTTTTTCTTATAAAGGCTGATTATACGCCTGTAAGGTATATTGCCCTAAAGCACACCCTCCATTATATTTATATATCACTAGCGGACCGCCCCGGTTTTGTCCTGGTTAGACGCTTATAATTGTCTCGAAAAATGGTTACTGAGTTATCCTTAGAAGAACGATAAAGCTATCAGGGACTTTTTTATCAGCCATACATCATTTTCGTTCAACTTTAACCATTAACTCTTTGCACGCTATGAAAGCTCTTAGAGACGACTTTCCGTTTTAGTTAACTAACATCATTACAACGTTTAGACACTATATATGTATGTAGCTACAAAATATATAACCTATATCCATCTGGAATAACGTACTTTTAAAATGGTGAAAGAACTTTTCAATGTTAAATATTTTTACATGACTGCAGACCCGGAAATTACCCCGTCACATACAGTCCCTGGCCAAATTATTAGACGCACTGTATTTTTTTAGTAATTTTATGTTTCTTAAGAGTTTTTATGCAATAATGGTATATTTAAACTACAATATTATTGATTTTTATTTAAAAGAATTGTTGTAGACTACATATTTGTATTTATTTTTAACATATGGCAACACTGTGTTGACAAAGTGATACATGAACGTAAACAAGTACAAATCTGTATCAGTCGCGATCGGAATCGAATCAGGTACGAACGTGTTTTTGTGGCTTTATGGACAGTGATTGTTTGTTTAACAGTTTTATACTACTCAGTTATTAGTTTATTTTGTATGCAGTGTTTTAAAAAAGTAATTGGATTATTTTCATTATGGGTAGAAAATGCGATCTTTCACCACGTAAAAAAGCTGAAGTGAAGGCCCATGTGATTGCGAAAACATTTACAAACCGAGAAATATCACGAAGATTGAAGGTTTCTGAATGTAGTGTACGACGCATAAAAAAGAAAATTGAGTCAGGGGAGGAATTAAGCCCGAAAAGAAAGAAAAGATGCGGTAGAAAACCAATTTTCACTCCACGGTCAGAGAGATGTTTGAAGAAAATTTGTCTACAAAACAGATTTGCTACCACAAAGGTAACAAAATCACAACTCCAGGATGCTAGCGTAAATGCTTCTGAGCGCACTGTTCGAAGAAAATTGAAAGAATTAGATTTCAAGGCTTGTCGCCCCGCCAGGAAGCCCAAGTTAACAGCTGCAATGAAAGCAAAGCGCCTGAAGTGGGCCAAACAATGGCAAGACAAAGATGTGGACTTCTGGAGATCGGTAAGATACAGCAATTTAATCAAAAATTGATACATTGTTATCATTTTCAGTTAAATAAAGCAAATAAACATGGAAGTTTATATATTTTTTCCTATTTTTGACAGGTCTGCTTCAGTGACGAAAGCACATTCGAAATTTTACAAAATAAAGCTCAGTATGTGCGTCGTCGTCATGGAGAAAAGTTTCATCCTGATTGTGTCGTCCCGACGGTTAAATATCCCACCAAAGTGATGATTTGGTCAGCCATCAGCGGCAAGGGCACTGGACGTCTGTACGTCGTCAAAGGAATAATGAGGCAAGATCAGTATAAAGAAGTACTGGAAAATCGGTTGATTCCGCAGCTCAGAGAATGGTTTCCAAATGGGGAACCATTCACTTTCATGCAAGATGGAGCTCCCTGCCACACTGCTCGGTCTGTTAAAGCTTTTTTTGGCAGAAAAAAATATCCCTCTGTTGGATTGGCCCGGTAATAGCCCTGATATGAACCCCATTGAAAATGTGTGGGAGCTGATGAAAAGAGAAGTGGCTAAAGATGTGATTACCAACAAAACCCAGCTCCTAGAAAAGATTATTTATGTGTGGAATCATCATCCTCAAATGCAGGAGACAGTACAGTCTTGCATTGATAGCATGCCGCGCAGAATTAAAGCTTTGATAGCGGCTAAAGGTGGCTCAACTAAATATTGACTTTTACTAGCATTAATTTCACTTTTCTTTAAAATTTAATAAACTTACTCTTTTCTAAATTAATGCTGTTTTATTTATGTCAAATAAATAGGTAATTGATTGGATAATATAAAAATAAAAAACAAATCAATTTAAAATAATAAAACGGTACAATATCACTCGGTAATCAATATTTTACATGAAATCTTGCAGTGCGTCTAATAATTTGGCCAGGGACTGTATAACACAAACTCTCAAAATTAGCATTCTTTCTTCAAAATATTAGTATAGATATTTGATAAAGCAGTCGAGTTGACAGCCGTAGTTTTATTTTAATTATATTGAGCTCTTAAAGTAGATAGTGCTGCCATCTCCTGGTTCAGTTTCGCTCTGTCGCCTCTTACGACACCCACGTGATGATATGGGGCTGTGGTTTCTTCTACGGCGTCACTAGATTGGCTATAATTAGGGTAATACTTTGCCAAAACTCTACATAGTTAAAATTTTAATGCCATGTTGGATTCTTTATTTAAAATTGCAATTAACTACTTCATTAGTTCCGGTGGGTATCGAACCCGGGTTGCTCGCATATTGTGAAATTTACAGAGTGCTTAGCTCCTGAACGGTACGTTCCTTGGAATTTCATGTGTTGATTTACCACGTGTTTGGCGGTGAAAGAAAACATCAAGAAAAAAACACACGTCTGAGAAAAAAATATTTCGAAGACATGAGAAGTTCGTCAAGCGCAGCGGGGCTTCCGTGGACATTTCCTAGCCTTCTCCGGAATGGATAGACATATCTCGGAAAGGAATACCTCGATTCCAGTAAAACGGGTCTCCAGTTCTTTACACTCACCATATGAAACACAACAGCATTAATCTGCTGATATTCTGTGAGAGCGTGATCCTACCCATAATATAGATCGAGGCTCTACCACGTATAAAAATGATATCAATGATGAACAACAAAGTCCTTATCTGATGAACTCTGCGAAATAGTTCAGGCGTCGCGGTTATAATAGGAACCATAGATCAAAATCCAATGACCTGAGCGGCCGCACACGCACGCGAATCTCGTACACACACACACACAGACATGACGCACACAAATACGCGACCCCAATAGTGAAATGGCAACGAACCCGGCTTTTTTTAAACTGTGCCCAAAATGATTTTGCACGTCTTGTTGTACTTTAACTATTTGACTGCCGCGTTATTTTATTGCTCGTGAACGCGGGTACTGATCATGAGGACTTGGGTTAGAATCCCGGGTCAGGCCAACATCAGTTATTGAGTTTTTCTGTCAAGAAATTCTTAGAAGCAGCCCGGAGTCAGCATGTAAAGCAGTTGGTCTTGCCATCCCATCGGACTATGTGGGAAGAGAGTGCACCTGTGCTCGCGCATACACTCGGGCTGTGCGCAATGGAAGTCTCCGTTGGGGCTGACTGCCGAGACCGAAATTCGCTCTGGAGAACATTATTATTATTATTTAATGAAAAGATTCAAATATGGACAAATTACTGTCACAATGAAATTGTGAAAACCCATCCAACGTCTGCAGGATTGGTTATGGTGGGTTAGGAAATCGACTACTGTGTTTATTTGTAACTATTATCATTTTAACCGGCTTAAAAAAAAAGGAGGACGTTCTCGATTTTACTGCAGATTTTAACTTCTTTTATAGGATAAAGGTGACAAGCCACAGCCACCTAAAAAAAAAAAATGGTTCCTATGTTATAACCAGTGATTCGGCCCGGCTTCGCACGGGTGATATCTGAATCTCGATAGTAGTGCCCTCCCCCGGGGTGTGTCTATTTCTTTCAATTGTGAATCTAAACCATCCAGAGACCCACACAAACAATTTCATGAAAAATTTTCAAGATGTTTTCGAGTTACTAACGCACAGTAATTGATTTTTATAAATATACTAGCTTGCGAGGCCGACGCTGTTCTACCCTTTTCGACGACCTTTTGTCATGTCCTATTAAAAATCCTTAAATTCGCAAAAAAAATTATGGGTCACGCATGGGCAAAAAAAAAAGACGTGTGGCACTCGGGGACTGCCGCGGTAAAGCTATTGCATAGCATTTTGTATCAACTTATGCAATTATAATTATTTTTTATTTATTTTATTTATGCAGTATTTCTTTTTCTTTGATGTGTTGTTTGATTGTGTGACCGATAAGAAAACAAATTTTTTTCTTTTATTTAATAAATAAAAAGTTAATATTGTTTAAAATATTTTTATTATTTTACAATACATGTGGGTTTCATAATCTTACAGTAGCTGTTGGTTATTCAGGAATTTAATCAACACCGTGTCGAAGACTGCCGAAAAGAAACGACGTTAGACAATGCACGGCCTTCAAGCCACACCTCCGTGCCCGTCGGAGTGGGGAGCGTGAGGTTTTTTTCGTTACGGCATTTCTGGATTCGGTCCCCGCGCTCAAGGCCCGCGATAGAAGCTATGAAATAGCTTAACTATCCTATCTTTCAAGTTGGACCAAACTGCACACGGTGTGCAAATTTGATTAAAATTGGTTAAGTCGTTTAGGAGTCCATCGCGGACAAACGTGACACGTAATTTATATATATATATATATATATATATATATATATATATATATATATATATATATATATACATACATACATATATATATATACATACATACATATATACAGGGTGTTTGGTGGGTGGTCCGACAAACTGAAATGGGAGATAGATGGGTTCGTTAGAAGCATATTTTCTTAGTAAATTTTTTTTCTATCTCTTACCATTCTTTTTAAATTAATTTTTAACATTTTTTTGTAATTATCCCAATTTTCTAGTATTTTGGTTCAGTACCTTCTACTATATCTAGTTTTCTACCATTTTTTTATTTTTCCTAAGAAATATGATTTTCTTTTAATTAAAAGAAAGATTCAAAGCCCAAAAGGGATAAGAAAAAAATACTTACGACACATTAAAAGTTAACAAACGAGAAAAAAAATTGTAAGCCCTTAAGTTTCCAGCCACTTAAAAAAATAAATAAATATGTTGAGTAATTTCAAATGGCCATCAAAAATTTTCTATTTCATCCTCTTTCTATCGGTATATAACATGTTACATAAAACTTTAGATTATCAACAAAATTGTTGATAATTAAATGTGAGGACGGGGTAATTAAAAAATTACAAGTTTCGTAAAAATTGCCAGGGCACCCTAAACTGTTTTTACCCGTGTTAATATTTTTTATGGTTTCATTCCTGCGTTTGCGAGCCAAATAGATGTTGTCTCTTTCTGGTGGTACAGGCGAAATTACGATGCGCGGATCAGCTACCTGCTTCTGTTGTTATTAAATTTCGTCGTGATTTGACTGTCTCTGAAGCACAAGCACAAAAAAAATTAGTATAAGTATAATAAGTAAGTAGTATACTTTACTCACTTTAAAATGTACGAAATAATTAATAATGGATAAGATAAACAGTAATTTTATAAAAAGAAGAAATAATAAGTACCTTGCACTGGGGTGAGGTGAAATGGATGCTTGCAATCGTTGTGGAGAACCGACCACACTTTCCATACAGAAAAGCCGAGTTCAGTCGCTACTTTTCTAATGCCCATCGTCAGGATCATCGTCAATAGCCACCAAGATACGCTCATCCACAGCAACATCAAGTGGTCTTCCACGTACTCCTGGTTCCCTGTGTTGCAATTTGCCAGTTTCACGTAGCCTTCTATAAGTATTTGCAAACGTATCATGGCTAGGCAACCTTCTCGTGGGATACAGCTCTCCATAAAGTCTACGTGCTCTGTGGCCGTTATTCAGGGCCCCGCCATAAACCAAAAGCATATCAGCGTATTCTTGGTTAGTAAAATAAGTGCGTTGAGTCATAATCACTGCAGTGTTTTGAATTAAGTTTGAACGCTACCGTCCGAAAACAGAAACAAATATTAAACAAACAAAAACTTCAACAAAAACTTAACAATAAACGAAACAAAAACTAAACTCAACGTAACTGTTCAACAATAAATATCGAAAAAGAACTCGCAAGTAGCTTGAGAGACAGTCAAATCACGACTAAATTTAATAACAACAGAAGCAGGTAGCTGATCCGCGCATCATAATTTCGTCTGTACCACCAGAAAGAGACAACGTCTACCTGGCTCGCACACGCAGGAATGAAACCGTAAAAAATATTAACACGGGTAAAACCAGTTTAGGGTGCCCTGGCAATTTTTTCGAAACTTGTAATTTTTTAATTACCCCGTCCTCACATTTGATTATCAACAATTTTGTTGATAATCTAAAGTTTTATGTAACATGTGATATACCGATAGAAAGAGGATGAAATAGAAAATTTTTGATGGCCATTTGAAATTACTCAACATATTTATTTATTTTTTTAAGTGGCTGGAAACTTAAGGGCTTACAATGTTTTTTCTCGTTTGTTCACTTTTAATGTGTCGTAAGTATTTTTTCTTATGCCTCTTGGGCTTTGAAACTTTCTTTTAATTAAAAGAAAATCATATTTCTTAGTAAAAATAAAAAAAATGGTAGAAAACTAGATATAGTAGAAGTTATTGAACCAAAATACTAGAAAATTGGGATAATTACAAAAAATGTTAAAAATTCATTTAAAAAAAAATGGTAAGAGATAGAAAAAAAAATTTACTAAGAAAATATGCTTCTAAGGAACCCATCTATCTCCCCTTTCAGTTTGTCGGACCACCCACCAAACACCCTGTATATATATATATATAAAAGAATAGATTATGGTTATATACATACTTAAACACTCACGCCTGTTACCCAGAGGGG